AGAAGTGAGGTAATACAAGCCTCACTGGTCATCACTTGGTGCCCCCATCAAGCCAAACTGTGACCTGCTAAGTACTGTAAATACAACATCTAGGAGAAACCGCTGAACAGTGTAAGTTGATCACTAACATGACTCGAGAACGAGTCCGTAAAAATTGTCAATATTACCAATTTCGTGGATGTGTGGACCATCCTAAGTCTTCGGCCCAGGTATTTGTCTTCATTATGAAAGAAGAATTGCCCCACTTATTTTCTTTCATGTTTAAAATGGGCTGGCGACAACCATATCACTTTTTCCGTGAAGTTTTAGTTCACAGTAGTTTTGTACAATTTTGTTTGATGCACAGAAACTAGAAAAAATTGTGATGTGGTAGGATTTACGAATCAGGAAAAAGAAGCAATCAAGTCAGAAGTTCTAGAGGGCAATAGAGGCCATTTCATAATAGCAGTAATGGGAGACAGTTTTAAGGGGCTGGGCTGTTCTGCTTACTGTGGGTGGGGAAGGGAGGGACAATTTTTGCTAGTTCCTGCTACATTACACGACTCATCTTGACAAGACCTTGTCAAGTCTAAACGAAGCACACACTACCGCCCTATTCTATACGTTTAAGGACTCTTCAGGACCGCATCGGCAGCGATCGAAAGACCGAGAAACAGCCAGAGGCTCCCACCATGCCGAACTACGCCTAATTTTGTTGTTCAGAAGATTCCAGAGGAACCGACTTGACCGACCCTGAACTGACAAACCTTGTATATGCAGCAATCAGTCTACTGGAAAGAATTCTTATGAAACACCACTACCGGTGTACTTTAAGAACTTCGATCTTTGTCTGCGCAATTTTAGTGAAATGGAGTATGTTTTGAAGCGAAATCCATGTACCAATTTCAATGAATATTGGCATAATTTCCCATGCAAGCACGTGTTCTGATCAAGGTTGCAGCCAGGACCCGATGGCACCTCCTTCATCAGAGCCTAGGAAGGCGGAGGACATTTGAGAAAAATGTTTCTTCAATCTTGCCCAAACGTTCGCCTAATAAAGAAGCTGCAAACAATCCTGGCTGTGAGCTCAACCGGAACAATCAAAATACTCGCCATCAAAAAAGTTCTTCAAAAAAATCGTTATTGGCAAAATAGAATGTTGTTCGGTCCCACCTTCCTAAGATTACCAGTTTGAACGACGTTAGAAACCGGTAAGGTCCTATTGTGGTTCATCTCCAATTCCATTTCTTCGGGCGACAAATATCGCACCGATTCCGAACCCCACATTTCTCCATCGGAACTGTCGTCAGTCACCTTAATAGAGGTTTCAAAGGCTCTCAAACAAGTTAAAAACGACCACAGAGGACTTCACAAAGGACTGAAGACGTCACTGATGACTGAAAATTCAAGGGGTGCCCGAAGTGTTTCATCTAACACTCTTACATGGAAAACACTAGGTTCAGAAGGCGAACTTTAGACTCACCTCCATGGATCCTAGCTCCAGCCGCGTGTGTGGAGAGAATGGGTCCACAACCGCAGTAGCGTACCACTACCTCCGGTCAAAAGTGCACGGAGACGGGCTGGAGTGTAATTATACCGAATGCAATCTCCACAGTCCGTCGCGCTGCCACATGGCACGCCAGGCCGTAGCCATGGCCAAACCCGTCACTTGTGCATGTCTCCCTCCTGATTGTTCGCTACCGCTGAGTGCGTGTTTCGCTGCGGTACATGGGTATCGACGCACCGGCAGGATAGCGCAGGCGGAGTTTGGAAACGACACTCGGGTATCGCTGCCCACCTGCCAAGTCTCGTGCAGATTTGGGCGCAGAAAGTGGCACGCTACTGCAGCTAAGGACGCATTCATCTCACACATGTCAAGAACCAGAATCCATAGAGGTGAGTGTACAGTTTGTATTCATGCTACGCACACTGTGACTGGAAAACAAACCGCTGTCTTTTTAGGTTGTTGGGGAACCGTGGTAGTGGTGACCTTAGAAGCACGAGGCGTCTCCGACATTGTTTGTGGCGCACGAAGCTGCGTTAACATAGGTTCCTCCTAAAAATACACGGTTATGATTTTACATTAATCAAAAGGGATCCACATCGAAAAAACGAAGCAAAAAAGGAAACGGGCAGTTTCCCCATAATATAAAAATCTCATGCTCTTGAAGAGACCTAGGAGGCATTTTCAAGCAAGCAGATGTTACCCTTGGCTAAATGGTAGTTACCGTGGCGAGCTGACTGAGAAAAGAATATGTCACGGCTTAAATATGACAAAATAAGCTTTATGTATTGGTCTCGCCCTAAAAATTCAGTCTGAACAGGTTTCTTTTCACGGTAAAAACTGCACTCCTGATTAAGATCAAAACTTACCGCAACACAAAACGTTATAAAAATAACACTGGACTTAATAATCAATCAGTGACGGGGTGTGATCCAACAAGGTACCCCTCCGACCATTATGAATAACGGATAAACAAGGCCAAAGAATTTTTTTCGCAGCCGGTTCCCATTTACTTCCCCAAAAAGATAACTGCAATTTCACTAGTCGGTATCTTCAGATCACTGACCTCTGCAATTGGTTCACTGTCAAAAATCTCCAGCTGATTTGTTCCATCTCCACTGCTGAAAGATGGAGGTGGCGTCGGTTCGTGAACGGCCACGTTCTCTCCTGAATTCATTACTTTAATTTGGCAGTAACATATGCTGTACGAAAATGTCATAGTCAGTGCGATTTGGGCTTCAAATAGGAACAAAAGTATCAAGTTTGCGCTTCTGAGCACATCCTGGATAAGACGGTGTTAAATAATACGAACAAGACAGTATTGCCCTTCAGTACTTCCTCGTTTGAGACAGACATCCCGCTGCTGAAGACATCATATTCAGCGAAATTAGAACGATCTTTCAAATCTAGGTGGTTAGACAAGCTCTTGTGCTTACGCGCTTGTGCAAATGAATATGTAACACAAAAGCGAGAAGTACTGTCACACCAAAATACCGTCATGCGGCCCGGCGACAACACCCGCTCTTCCGATCTTAGCAAAAAGAAATGCAGTTTTGTTCGCTGCGGATGCTAGGGAATGCCAGGTGGGATGGGTCTGGTGGGGCGCCAAACTTGTTCTCAACTGCTGGAGCAGTCAAGCGAGAACAATAGTGCGAAACGAGCTATCGCAGCCCAAAACCCACCCCTGCACGCCAGCATCTGCCGCACAAGACGTTACACGCATCTTGAATTATGATCATGTACTCTCTTCAACTTTTCCACACTGATAATATAAAGAAGAGAAGAGGGCTGCTCGATAGAGAACAAAGAGTACAGAAGGTAAAAAATACCTTGCATTGCCAACAGGTTCCGCAGCTTTTTTATGTGGACTGCTCTTGTTGTTGGTGTCAGTGGACCGACATTCTGACCCAAAGCGATGAGACGCTGAAATCATCATAAGATTCGTGACGAAAATTCTTGTTTTCAACAAAAACTCTCTTTAATGTCGCATTTATTTTAAAGGAACAATAAAGAGGCTTCGTGGGTTGGCGGGTGGGGCATGCTTAATCCTAAGCCTAAGTAGTACTACGCGGAACTGAAGAATCCGTGATTTTGAAGAACTGATTATTCTAGAGAATGCGCGAAAAGATACCGCGAAAAGAACAGCATTCTTATCGGCTTGGAGAACAATGATTCGGGAGAATCGGCGATAAGGATGCGGACGGAATGATAGTAGACGCCGACTGTCCCGAATCGCAGATTCTCCACATCGATACGTATGTCTTCTTTTTCGCGTATTCGGAGATTTTCCCTGATCGCGAATTGCCTGAGTGGGAACGAAGTGTGTGAACGAGTGTGTAAGCTATGAACCCTTATAATTGCCGTCAATTTCGGTATGAATTCGGGCGAGCAGTACAATCGAAGACATACTCATCGGCGCTGGCCGCTTGTACAAGTAAGGGTGGACGGAAAATGACGTGAAAAGTTTCAGGCAATTCTGCTGCGATATTCTGTAAACAAGCTGTAGACTGTTTCGATTAGGACCCGATCGGTTACCCTCCGAACCGTCCGTTTAGAAAAGGAACCTTCCTAACCAGGAAGTCCGCCAACTTACCATGGAACTTTGAATGGAGACCTGGGTAGATCGATAGTCTATAAGGTTATTTACAAATATAGATAGCAAAACTGCAACCTGCATTTCACAAGCAACTTATGAGCAGGTAAAGTTTGTAATGGTGCAGTAGGGTGGAGGCTTGGTGGTGAGCTGTGAAGCATAAGCGAGGAATCGCATACGTCGAATCGAGTCGTCGAACGTCGAACCTTACCACTGAACCACCACGACTCGATTCGACGTATGCGATTCCTCGCTTATGCTTCACAGCTCACCACCAAGCCTCCACCCTACTGCACCATTACAAACTTTACCTGCTCATAAGTTGCTTGTGAAATGCAGGTTGCAGTTTTGCTATCTATATTTGTAAATAACCTTATAGACTCTATCGATCTACCCAGGTCTCCATTCAAAGTTCCATGGTAAGTTGGCGGACTTCCCTGGTTAGAACATACACAACAGCCAAGTCTCCCCAAGTCAACCTTACTCGATATGAAACAAGCTGACCAATATAGGCGATGAGATTCTAGCTGTATGAGGTCCGGCGAATAAAAAGTTTCACATGCTTCAGCAGTTTCTGTTCCCCGCTATACCATGGGCTTCTAATCCAACATTGTGAATGTTTCTAAAAAGGATGCAGCAGGTAAAAACGCATTCCGCGATGCCTATATGGGCGGAGACAGAAACCATTAAGCCATTTACATTAATACGCTCCTCTATTCAAGGTCCAAGGTTTTACAGAGGATGGACCTGGACAATATGGACTCCCGCGATACAAAGAAAATTTCCACGAACCTGACGTATTTCGTTGTCGGGCAAGTCTTCGAGTTCCATCTTTGTGGATGATGAAAGACAATCAGAGGTGTTCTGAAAACGAACTAAATCAGCGAAATGGCGCTAAAGCGCACTGGAGATCAACGGAGAGCCGGTCTCAGAAAATGCG